CACTCTCTGTGTGTGATGTATGTGTGTGTGTGTTGGTGTTAGGTTCGTCCATTCTCTGTGTGTGATGTATGTGTGTGTTGGTGTTGGGTTCGTCCACTCTCTGTGTGATGTATGTGTGTTGGTGTTAGGTTCGTCCACTCTCTGTGTGTGATGTATGTGTGTTGGTGTTGGTTCGTCCACTCTCTGTGTGTGATGTATGTGTGTGTTGGTGTTGGTTCGTCCACTCTCTGTGGGTGATGTATGTGTGTGTTGGTGTTGGGTTCGTCCACTCTCTGTGTGTGATGTATGTGTGTGTTGGTGTTAGGTTCGTCCACTCTCTGTGTGTGATGTATGTGTGTGTGTGTTGGTGTTAGGTTCGTCCATTCTCTGTGTGTGATGTATGTGTGTGTTGGTGTTAGGTTCGTCCACTCTCTGTGTGTGATGTATGTGTGTGTTGGTGTTAGGTTCGTCCACTCTCTGTGTGTGATGTATGTGTGTGTTGGTGTTAGGTTCGTCCACTCTCTGTGTGTGATGTATGTGTGTGTTGGTGTTAGGTTCGTCCACTCTCTGTGTGTGATGTATGTGTGTGTTGGTGTTAGGTTCGTCCACTCTCTGTGTGTGATGTATGTGTGTGTGTGTTGGTTCGTCCACTCTCTGTGTGTGATGTATGTGTGTGTTGGTGTTAGGTTCGTCCACTCTCTGTGTGTGATGTATGTGTGTGTTGGTGTTAGGTTCGTCCACTCTCTGTGTGTGATGTATGTGTGTGTTGGTGTTAGGTTCGTCCACTCTCTGTGTGTGATGTATGTGTGTGTGTGTTGGTTCGTCCACTCTCTGTGTGTGATGTATGTGTGTGTTGGTGTTAGGTTCGTCCATTCTCTGTGTGTGATGTATGTGTGTGTTGGTGTTAGGTTCGTCCACTCTCTGTGTGTGATGTATGTGTGTGTTGGTGTTGGGTTCGTCCACTCTCTGTGTGTGATGTATGTGTGTGTTGGTGTTGTTGGTGTTGGGTTCGTCCACTCTCTGTGTGTGATGTATGTGTGTGTGTGTTGGTTCGTCCACTCTCTGTGTGTGATGTATGTGTGTGTTGGTGTTGTTGGTGTTAGGTTCGTCCACTCTCTGTGTGTGATGTATGTGTGTGTGTGTTGGTTCGTCCACTCTCTGTGTGTGATGTATGTGTGTGTGTGTTGGTGTTAGGTTCGTCCATTCTCTGTGTGTGATGTATGTGTGTGTTGGTGTTGGGTTCGTCCACTCTCTGTGTGTGATGTATATGTGTTGGTGTTGGGTTCGTCCACTCTCTGTGGGTGATGTATGTGTGTGTTGGTGTTGGTTCGTCCACTCTCTGTGTGTGATGTATGTGTGTGTTGGTGTTGGGTTCGTCCACTCTCTGTGTGTGATGTATGTGTGTGTTGGTGTTGGGTTCGTCCACTCTCTGTGTGTGATGTATGTGTGTGTTGGTGTTAGGTTCGTCCACTCTCTGTGTGTGATGTATGTGTGTGTTGGTGTTGGGTTCGTCCACTCTCTGTGTGTGATGTATGTGTGTGTTGGTGTTAGGTTCGTCCACTCTCTGTGTGTGATGTATGTGTGTGTTGGTGTTGGGTTCGTCCACTCTCTGTGTGTGATGTATGTGTGTGTGTGTTGGTGTTGGGTTCGTCCACTCTCTGTGTGTGATGTATGTGTGTGTGTGTTGGTGTTAGGTTCGTCCATTCTCTGTGTGTGATGTATGTGTGTGTTGGTGTTGGGTTCGTCCACTCTCTGTGTGTGATGTATGTGTGTGTTGGTGTTGGGTTCGTCCACTCTCTGTGTGTGATGTATGTGTGTGTGTGTTGGTGTTAGGTTCGTCCATTCTCTGTGTGTGATGTATGTGTGTGTTGGTGTTGGGTTCGTCCACTCTCTGTGTGATGTATGTGTGTTGGTGTTAGGTTCGTCCACTCTCTGTGTGTGATGTATGTGTGTTGGTGTTGGTTCGTCCACTCTCTGTGTGTGATGTATGTGTGTGTTGGTGTTGGTTCGTCCACTCTCTGTGGGTGATGTATGTGTGTGTTGGTGTTGGGTTCGTCCACTCTCTGTGTGTGATGTATGTGTGTGTTGGTGTTAGGTTCGTCCACTCTCTGTGTGTGATGTATGTGTGTGTGTGTTGGTGTTAGGTTCGTCCATTCTCTGTGTGTGATGTATGTGTGTGTTGGTGTTAGGTTCGTCCACTCTCTGTGTGTGATGTATGTGTGTGTTGGTGTTAGGTTCGTCCACTCTCTGTGTGTGATGTATGTGTGTGTTGGTGTTAGGTTCGTCCACTCTCTGTGTGTGATGTATGTGTGTGTTGGTGTTAGGTTCGTCCACTCTCTGTGTGTGATGTATGTGTGTGTTGGTGTTAGGTTCGTCCACTCTCTGTGTGTGATGTATGTGTGTGTGTGTTGGTTCGTCCACTCTCTGTGTGTGATGTATGTGTGTGTTGGTGTTAGGTTCGTCCACTCTCTGTGTGTGATGTATGTGTGTGTTGGTGTTAGGTTCGTCCACTCTCTGTGTGTGATGTATGTGTGTGTTGGTGTTAGGTTCGTCCACTCTCTGTGTGTGATGTATGTGTGTGTGTGTTGGTTCGTCCACTCTCTGTGTGTGATGTATGTGTGTGTTGGTGTTAGGTTCGTCCATTCTCTGTGTGTGATGTATGTGTGTGTTGGTGTTAGGTTCGTCCACTCTCTGTGTGTGATGTATGTGTGTGTTGGTGTTGGGTTCGTCCACTCTCTGTGTGTGATGTATGTGTGTGTTGGTGTTGTTGGTGTTGGGTTCGTCCACTCTCTGTGTGTGATGTATGTGTGTGTGTGTTGGTTCGTCCACTCTCTGTGTGTGATGTATGTGTGTGTTGGTGTTGTTGGTGTTAGGTTCGTCCACTCTCTGTGTGTGATGTATGTGTGTGTGTGTTGGTTCGTCCACTCTCTGTGTGTGATGTATGTGTGTGTGTGTTGGTGTTAGGTTCGTCCATTCTCTGTGTGTGATGTATGTGTGTGTTGGTGTTGGGTTCGTCCACTCTCTGTGTGTGATGTATGTGTGTGTGTGTTGGTGTTGGTTCGTCCACTCTCTGTGTGTGATGTATGTGTGTGTTGGTGTTGGTTCGTCCACTCTCTGTGGGTGATGTATGTGTGTGTTGGTGTTGGGTTCGTCCATTCTCTGTGTGTGATGTATGTGTGTGTGTGTTGGTGTTAGGTTCGTCCATTCTCTGTGTGTGATGTATGTGTGTGTGTGTTGGTGTTAGGTTCGTCCATTCTCTGTGTGTGATGTATGTGTGTGTGTGTTGGTTCGTCCACTCTCTGTGTGTGATGTATGTGTGTGTGTGTTGGTTCGTCCACTCTCTGTGTGTGATGTATGTGTGTGTTGGTGTTAGGTTCGTCCACTCTCTGTGTGATGTGTGTGTGTTGGTGTTGGGTTCGTCCACTCTCTGTGTGTGATGTATGTGTGTGTTGGTGTTAGGTTCGTCCACTCTCTGTGTGTGATGTATGTGTGTGTTGGTGTTGGGTTCGTCCACTCTCTGTGTGTGATGTATGTGTGTGTGTGTTGGTGTTAGGTTCGTCCATTCTCTGTGTGTGATGTATGTGTGTGTTGGTGTTAGGTTCGTCCACTCTCTGTGTGTGATGTATGTGTGTGTGTGTTGGTGTTAGGTTCGTCCATTCTCTGTGTGTGATGTATGTGTGTGTTGGTGTTAGGTTCGTCCACTCTCTGTGTGTGATGTATGTGTGTGTGTGTTGGTTCGTCCACTCTCTGTGTGTGATGTATGTGTGTGTTGGTGTTAGGTTCGTCCACTCTCTGTGTGTGATGTATGTGTGTGTGTGTTGGTGTTAGGTTCGTCCATTCTCTGTGTGTGATGTATGTGTGTGTGTGTTGGTTCGTCCACTCTCTGTGTGTGATGTATGTGTGTGTGTGTTGGTTCGTCCACTCTCTGTGTGTGATGTATGTGTGTGTTGGTGTTAGGTTCGTCCACTCTCTGTGTGTGATGTATGTGTGTGTGTGTTGGTGTTAGGTTCGTCCACTCTCTGTGTGTGATGTATGTGTGTGTTGGGGAGTCGGACTTGTCCGAAAGCAACTTGCCCAATGTTAATATTAGAAAATAAATAATATTACCAAATAGACATTCTAAATCAATTCAAGTTTGAAATTTCGTTGAGGCGCGGTCTAGGCGGCGAATTTAAAAACTAAAGGTAGTCAAATATGTTTTATTTCCATTTAATGCACATTGTTTAGACAATGTGTTGAAGCGATTATTTAATAAAGAAAGCAAAATTCATATTAAAATCCTGAGATAAACGAAAATGGTAGTGTTGTTTCATTGATAGGAAAGAAAATGCATGTGTACACTTTTTATATAGCAAATACAAATTAATTAAGAATGTCTGCGTGGTAATATTGATATTAGTAGATATGTATTTTAATCAAAATTTCAAATTTAAATTGATTTCGAATGATTATTTTGTAATATATAATGTTAACAATTTTCAGGCAAACGGCTTTCGGGCAAGTGACTTTCGGGCATTTGTCGCATTCAGGCAATATATATATATATATATATATATATATATATATATATATATATATATATATATATATATATATATATATATATATATATATATATATATATATATATATATATTCAAGTGTATGCGGATAAGATTGCTCCGAGGCAAAGTGAAAAATTTTGTTTGCCTAACAATGAAAAAAAGCTAAGCTACATGATGGTGTGGTTGTGTAAGGATTGAGTTCCTGTGCTACATGATTGTGTGGTTGTGTAAGGATTGAGTTCCTGTACTGCATGAGTGCTGTGGTACTGACCTCTCCCATCCCCCTGCCCCCCCCCCCCCCCCCCCCCCGAAGAATATTGAATACAAATTTGGCACAATTTACTTCTTTTATTGAGACCCGAAAAATGACAAGCAATACTAGTATAATATATGTTAAATGGTGAAGATAAAATAGCTTAGTGTTAACAATTATACATTTTTGTTCTATTTTTAGGTATAAATGAAGAAAGTACTTACTCTGAAGCAGTAGGTAATGACGTCCAATGGACTGTTGCTCCTCATAGTAGCACGTGGCATTTGTAAGCTGTGTTAGTCTACATTGTGAGAAGTATCCCTCAGAGATGCTCTCCCCCTGATATATGTAGAGATGCTCTCCCCCTGATATATGTAGAGATGCTCTCCCCCTGATATATGTAGAGATGCTCTCCCCCTGATATATGTAGAGATGCTCTCCCCCTGATATATGTAGAGATGCTCTCCCCCTGATATATGTAGAGATGCTCTCCCCCTGATATATGTAGAGATGCTCTCCCCCTGATATATGTAGAGATGCTCTCCCCCTGATATATGTAGAGATGCTCTCCCCCTGATATATGTAGAGATGCTCTCCCCCTGATATATGTAGAGATGCTCTCCCCCTGATATATGTAGAGATGCTCTCCCCCTGATATATGTAGAGATGCTCTCCCCCTGATATATGTAGAGATGCTCTCCCCCTGATATATGTAGAGGTGCTTTTAATCCTTCATAAATTTTCGCTAGCTATCTGAATTTCTTGATAGCAAGATGGTAGCAAATTTGAAGCATGGGGATTAGGATTAGCCGAGTTGGATTTGGGGGATTTGGATTAGCAGAATTGAAGTTGGGAGATTTGAATTAGCCGAGTTGCAGATGAAGGGCTTTAGATTAGCCGAGTTGAAGATGCGATATCTGGATTAGCATAGTTAGGAGTAAAACTTCCTGAAGAAGATAAAAAAAAGCCATATTACAAATGTAATCTACACCTATACACAAGCTAAATGTGTACATTTTGTACGCAAGTTCATTTTTACAAGTATGTTATAGATTTCGTAAACTTTTACATTTATAGTTGTTTTTGTTTTACTATGAAAATGTAATATATTTCTTCCAATGTGGCCTCAAACTGTTCAGATCATAGAGGTCTAGCGCGGATCTGGCCAGTTCTAACGTAGGCAAAGATGTTAAATTAAAAAGAAGACATTGATTACTGTGACGTCATACCAATCTCTAACTTAATTAAGACGCGGTGTACTACAAAAATCAGCCCTCTAATGAAGCAATAAATTGTTGTAAAAATCTGAGCAAGCAGTGCAGGTGCATTCATCAACAGGAACACTTGTGGAAATGAATGGCACAGCTGTAAACATAAAATGGGTTACCGGCCCTGACAGTAATGGTCGGCTCTGATTGATGGCAGCCATATGACTTGGTTCAGCTACACGCATACACAGGCGCGGACTTGAGCGCCCCCAACCGCGAATCATTTTGGCAGCCATTTATATATATGTATATGTATATGTATATGTATATGTATATGTATATGTATATGTATATGTATATGTATATGTATATGTATATGTATATGTATATGTATATGTATATGTATATGTATATGTATATGTATATGTATATGTATATGTATATGTATATGTATATGTATATGTATATGTATATGTATATGTATATGTATATGTATATGTATATGTATATGTATATGTATATGTATATGTATATGTATATGTATATGTATATGTATATGTATATGTATATGTATATGTATATGTATATGTATATGTATATGTATATGTATATGTATATGTATATGTATATGTATATGTATATGTATATGTATATGTATATGTATATGTATATGTATATGTATATGTATATGTATATGTATATGTATATGTATATGTATATGTATATGTATATGTATATGTATATGTATATGTATATGTATATGTATATGTATATGTATATGTATATGTATATGTATATGTATATGTATATGTATATGTATATGTATATATGTATATGTATATATATATATATATATATATATATATATATATATATATATATATATATATATATATATATATATATATATATATATATATATACAGAGAGAGAGACAGAGAAAAACAGAAATAGACACACACACATAGACAGACAGAGAAACGGATATATATATATATATATATATATATATATATATATATATATATATATATATATACATATATATATATATATATATATATACATATATATATATATATATATATATATATATATATATATATATATATATATATAGCGAGAGAGAGAGAGAGATTTATCGATAGATAGACGGATGGATGGATGGATGGATGGATGGATGGATGGATGGGCGGGCGGGCGGGCGGGCGGGCGGGCGGGCGGGCGGGCGGGCGGGCGGGCGGGCGGACGGACGGACGGACGGACGGACGGACGGACGGACGGACGGACGGACGGACGGACGGACGGACGGACGGACGGACGGACGGACAGACAGACAGACAGACAGACAGACAGACAGACAGACAGACAGACAGACAGACAGACAGACAGACAGACAGACAGACAGACAGACAGACAGACAGACAGACAGACAGACAGACAGACAGACAGACAGACAGACAGACAGACAGACAGACAGACAGACAGACAGACAGACAGATAGATAGATAGATAGATAGATAGATAGATAGATAGATAGATAGATAGATAGATAGATAGATAGATAGATAGATAGATAGATAGATAGATAGATGATTATACCGACATAAAGTAATAAGAGCTTAGGACGACAAAGCTAGTTGACTATATGGTTCAAGTGTATTCGTAGGTTTTTTTAATTTACTTGATAGAATGTGTGTAGAGTGAGGTTGAAGCGACAATAATAGAAATAAAATAAGAGAGAGGACTAGAGAGACTGATAGGGGTATAATGAAGTTTGTAGTGGAGTTGTATTTAATGCGCTTCAGAAACCGTTAAGTGACGGAAAAAAACTATTATGGTCGTTAGATTGTCGAGAAGCCGTAATTTCTTATATAAGTATAGCAACTGTTTGTTAAAGAAAAGTAAACAAAGACTACGTCATTCTCTCAATTTACAAGGGAGGTGACTTTTTTTAAATAATTATTTTTCAAACTATTGTATACTATTTTTAACATAAACTGATATTGACGAAGTAGGCCTATAGCATTCATTTCAGTAAAAAATTAAATTCTAAATTAAGGTGTGTATTCTAATTAAATGTAGAAATTAATTATAAAAGTTAATGCAATATAAACTATGAGTTATACTGTACAGGAAACCTCTGTAGTTCTAATTACCTTTCGAGTCATAATTTGCGAACATCTCATAAATTTCTCTGAATACGGGCTATAAACAACAACAACAATTTCTCTTAAATTAAAATTACTGTTTAAACGTAAGCACTCCATATATCAGCTAATCACTATTTAATTAAGCATTCAAATTCTCATATGTTTTTGAAAACCTAAGCGAAGCTAGGGTAAGTATGCCTATTATATATATATATATATATATATATATATATATATATATATATATATATATATATATATATATATACATTGTTGTATTTGTTGTTAGGATTAGGGTTAGGTATATTTTCTTAAGTTTCCATATTTCTATAAAGACAACACGGGCAGTACATCAGATCGCCATGTTGAGAATACTCAAGGGGAGCTAACAAATAAACTCGGCAGTGGTGTGAGGTTGGGCTTCCTTGTAAGCACTTTGACGCCTACTTTTTTTAAAGAGCTCCCTACACTTAACGTGGACCACTACATTCATGACCAAACCCTGAGATAGTACAACGGATGGTTTTCAAGAGCTCTCTGAAAACGTCTCCTGCACCTAAACGGTCGCCGATGTGGTTTTCCCAATCATTGCATGTTGATCACTGTACATTTAGGTTTTATACAGAAAACCCTAAGAAAAGTAGTGTTGACAATTTTTATATATTTAAAAATCTCCTCTCGTGTTCTAATATAAAAATTATTGTCAACGATATGAAAACCATGGTGTAGACTCTATGAAACTCTACACTGTAGAGCGAGTATATATATATATATATATATATATATATATATATATATATATATATATGTATATGTATATATACATGAATTTTCGTGCACCTTACTGAAATGAGAAAGTAAAAAATGTAGACTTTATGTAGATTGTTTGTGTATATTGTCGATTTCATGTGAATCTTATGTAGATATTTTGTGGATATTTTTTATTTAGCGTGGATATTGTGTTTTTTTTTTTTTTTGGGTTTTGATGCTTGGGAATTGTGTATGTATTAAGTGGTTTTTCTGTGGATTTTGTGGTTCAGAATGGATATTGTTGATTTAGTGTAGACTGTATGTTTGTGTTAATAGGGCTTTTTAGTCTCGTTCTCTCTCATTTAAAATTTGATATCTCGCTAGCCAGGGACAGACATGAGTGTTTTAACGAAATAATTTTTTTGAACACGATTCGTATTGACAAAAAAAAATACATGCCGGTTATTTGTTTCTAGGCCTCGCTTCAAGATTTTAAAATATCAAGAGTACCAGAAATGTAAGAATTATAAACATTTACTAAAATCAGAATCCAATGGTCTAGTTAATTATAACTACGTTTAGGCCAACTTTTGACCGATTCCAGAAAATATTAATTAACTGTTGATAACACTACGGGGGATGGCAAACTCAGGGTATTTTTAATCCATTTTTAATTACTTACACTTTTGAAAATAGAATACAATATCGCAGAAAAAATAATTGAGCTCAAAGTAAACAGCAAACAATGCGTGTATAATAGTACGGAATATTAGTAATTTATAAACTCCTATGCGTTTTTTGAGAAATCGGAAATAGCGTAAAGTACTACTTCCGGTAAAAGCAAATTACTCAAAATTTGATAAACGGCAGAAAATTAGATTTTTTACTTATGTGTGAAATTTTGTCTATCTATCTGAAACATTCCTCAAGTAAAAGGCTTTTGAAAAGTCAAAAGTAGAATAAGTTCTACTTCGGGGTAACGGAAATAGCTGAAAAGATGTCACAGAACTAAAAATTAGCTATAATACTTATATATGAAATGTCAGCAACCTAGCTGTAACGGTACTCAAGTTATCGTGTTCATAGACAAATATGTACACACACATACACGCGGAGCAAAACTAAGTTTTTCTGACAAAGGGAGGGGTAAAACGTCGAGCCTTGTGAAAATCTCGATTGCAAGTTTTTGCACGATTACGATTCTTCCTCTATACTTCATATAAGAGAAAGTAAAAAAAAAAATCACATTTTCGTAGGTTATATTTGTCTTTAAGCTAGCCACCATCCTGTGGTCTATGATCGTCGTTGTTTACTATTTTAAATAACTTAAACATAGCGGAAATAACTTTTCTATTTTGAATTTTTAAAATAGATTTAATAAAAATATTCACCTTTGAGTTGAGCTGGTAAGTATGAAAACGAGAAACGTGTAATCTAATCACAGGCCTTATTGTGTGTGAATTTTGCTATGACGTTTTGGATTAGGTGTGGATTTGGTGTGGATTTGGTGTGGATTAGGTGTGGATTTGGTGTGGATTTGGTGTGGATTTGGTGTGGATTTGGTTTGGATATTATGAATTTTGGGTAGATTGTAGGGTCGGCGTGCTTACATCGGTAGAGGTCATGGTTGCTGAAGCGAAGCGTCTCGAGTTTGAATCTCCAGGCAGATGAGGCTCGGTAGCTGGTGTAGCAACATATCTACAGCAACATCTCTATGAGAGAAAACTCTAAAATTAAACAACAGCTGCTTTGTAAATTATTCTTGGTTTGACTGTGGAAACAAATTCAGAAAGTATAATAGGCTCTTGATTTAGATTTGTGCACGCTTACAATACATCCGTTATGTTCCGTATTTGATAGAGTAGGGAGGTGTAGAACTGCAAAAACTGGCAAAATCTAATTTAAGTTACTCTGTATACGATCAAGTAAAACCTACAGGAAAGTACAGGAGCTTCAGTATTGTGTTCTAAATGTGCCTACCTCTCAAAGCAACCCTGTTATCTGCTTAGATCACATATTTCTTACACATATTTCTTACACATATTTCTAAACGATGTGCTACCAGAGAAGTGACGACCCCAAGACGATGTTGTGACGGACACCTTGACCTAATGCTGTTTTTAATAGGCACATTAATAGGCTATTAAATTCGAGATCGCTCAAAGCCATTAAATAATCGAAAATCAATTAAAGTTCTGTTAGAGAATAATATTTATATAAGCATTATGTACTCTAAGAGAATTAGCAATCATTTTACACTGTACCTCATTGAAAGGTAACCCATACGTCTTCAACAATAAATCCTTGAAAAAATAAAGAAACATGCAACATCAATTCCTGTCTGGAATCAATTCTAGATCCGTATCCGCACGGTGAAAAGAACATCCACGTGAAAAGGTGAAGATCCAAGTTGTGGACGGATATCTAATGGCGACAGGCTAGTCCCGCTTGTGACGTCATCCACACAACTCCACATGGAGTGCGCTGTCTATGATACACCAAAAGGTTATTTTTACAAAATCTCAGCTATCTATGGTATTCCGAAAGATTATTTGTGCACAATATCAGATATATATGGTACGCCGAAAGCATGTTTTTACAAAATCTCAAATATTCTAAGGCTATTACTTTCTCGTATACGAGTAACGGAACATACAGAAACCCGAGTTTCGTGAATATAAATTTCTAATTAGATGTCTACAATATCGAAGTTTAAGAAAGTAACTATACCACTGAACCTAACATTAAACCTAACTCTAACCACAATCAACCACAAACATAAACATAAGTCCACTCCCCTCACTTCTACGCCTAAAAAACCAACAACATAAACAAAAAACAAAGAAACAGACATAAACATAAACCCTAACAACAATATCCAACACACATAAACATAAATACACAAGCATAAACACAAAAACAGCGAACACATAAACATAAATACACAAGCATAAACACAAAAACAGCGAACACATAAACATAAATACACAGGCATAAACACAAAAACAGCGAACACATAAACATAAATACACAAGCATAAACACAAAAACAGCGAACACATAAACATAAATACACAAGCATAAACACAAAAACAGCGAACACATAAACATAAATACACAAGCATAAACACAAAAACAGCGAACACATAAACATAAATACACAGGCATAAACACAAAAACAGCGAACACAAACATTAACATTAACCCCTAACCCTCAGCACAAGTTCGAGCACAAAGACAACGCAAATATAAACACAAAATGCTTTAATTAAAACGTTGTTGCTTGATGAACACATCGCACACATTCCAATGGAGGACTGCATCATTTGATTTAGTTAACGATTATAGTAGCCCGTCGCATCTGTTAAGGCTGACCTCGACTACCAAGCTCTGTGATTCTCTCTGTGAGGGTTCCTCTAGTGGTATCAGTCATTCCACTTCACATCCGGACAAACGATATTTGAATGATTTGGCAATCGTCTGTTATTCTCCAGATCATATTTTTATTCAACTACTAGGTTCGTCAATGTAGAATACAATTAGAATAATTGTTGTCATTCACATTCACTCCATATCCTGAACTCGCTCATTTCCATTACACAGCAACCAGTTTGTACCACAAAAAAGTTACACAGCAACCAGTTTGTACCAAAAAAAGTCACACAGCAACCAGTTTGTACCATACGTACCACAAAAAGTCACACAGCAACCAGTTTGTACCACAAAAAAGTCACACAGCAACCAGTTTGTACCAAAAAAAGTCACACAGCAACCAGTTTGTACCACAAAAAGTCGCATAGCAACCAGTTTGTACCACAAAAAAGTCACACAGCAACCAGTTTGTACCAAAAAAAGTCACACAGCAACCAGTTTGTACCACACGTACCACAAAAAAGTCACACAGCAACCAGTTTGTACCACAAAAAAGTCACACAGCAACCAGTTTGTACCACAAAAAAGTCACACAGCAACCAGTTTGTACCACAAAAAAGTCACACAGCAACCAGTTTGTACCACAAAAAAGTCACACAGCAACCAGTTTGTACCACAAAAAGTCACTATCTTTAATACGCGTCAACATTCCATGCATTTATTTTCTATTTTCATTCGCAACTAGCAGACCTAACGCCTAAAATTGTCTTCTCCCTAGTACGATAAGATAAAGACTGCCTTAATCTTTTCGAGCCAAAACCACACTACACAAAACAATTGCATAAAAACGTTTTCATTACACGCTTTAATGTAATAATTTATTAAAAAGGAGAAAAATAAATGATTCTTTAAACATCTATAATATAATCTATAATATAAGCGGGCTGAGCGTGTGTCAGTCCTTCCTTCTGTCATCGCTATAGCTTTTAGAACCATAAAAGTAAACATTCGAACCACGCAGTGCTTTTCAGTGCACCGCAGTGTCTTATTATAAGTATTAGAGTAGGGTTTGTTTATATAGTGGCATAGAGCTATTTTATAATTTCCACTGTTTGTACAATTTTGCATAACGTAAAGAGAATATTAAATACACGCACATTGCTAAAACATATTAAAAGGATCAATGTCAAATATAGTTTTCGTTAATATTCCTCGAAAAAGTGGATACATTTTAATAACATAATAACAGTACGGTAGAAAAATCAAATTAAACTGTTTAATAATAATGCCAAGGGAGGTATTTTAAAAATAAATTGAACTCAATCTAAAAATGTGAATGCAGAATCTGCAAGACGGAATAATTGTTGGAATAATATAATTAGCAAAATGTGAATGCAAATTATGCAGACGTGTAAGAGTACATTATTGTTGGAATATTATTATTAGCATTGATTGATAAAAGGCTATCTTTTATTTATTTTATTCACTGAATGTACTGTTTACTAATTATAATTTTTAATCAACTATTCTCCATTACTATATTAAGTCATCACGTTCATTAGGTGCGCAATGGTTTTAGTCATGAAACTTTATTGTAAATTTTTAAAAGTACTGAAAAAAATGCATGAATTTATAAAGTGCAATATGGTCGGTAAAACACGGATATTCTAAATACTGCCTTTAATTTATTTGCGGAAAAGCTAGGGGTTTTATAACAGAGGCGTAGCAAGAGGGGGGGGGGGGAGGGTGGAAATCGAAAGTTTGAGGGAGGTGGGAGGGTGTAAATCGAAATTTTCCGCCGGCGCTCGGAAAGGGCGCGATTTGGCGCTACGGGATAGACTGTGAGCAATATGCCTTTATGATTACATTTAAATTGAGTGTTGTGTTTGTTTTTTCGTGTTTGTTTTTTCTTTGCGTTCGTTTGTGTTGTATTTAGTTTTGTTCTGTTCCCAACTTGGTACATTTAAAAAAGATTTACCGTGTGTTGTGGTTGTGTTGTGGTTGTGTTTGTTTTGTGGTTGTGTTGTGGTTGTTTTGTGGTTGTGTTGTGGTTGTGTTGTGGTTGTGTTGTGATTGTGTTGTGGTTGTGTTTTGTTTGTGTTTGTGTTGTGTTTTTGTTTGTTTTGTTCTGTTCCAAAGTTGGTATATTTTAAAAAGATTTACCGTGGCGGAGCACGGGATGCAGCTAGTATAATAATACACTGATAAAGCGTGGATCACTATATTATCCCCCCCCCCCCCCCCAAAGCACTTAATCCTCCCCCCCCCCCTTGAAAAAGGGAGTCCTTATAGTTATTAAATAGTAGTGTATTTAAAGAAAAAACGTCATCTCCTCCTTTTTAGTGCATTGTCATCTTAATTATTCATCCAATTAAGTCAAATTTAATATCATATTGCATTTTCTTCAAATCCTGAACAATGTGCCAACTTGGAAATGTATCTTTCACTGCACGAAATTCCGCACTCCCGTTTCGATCTATGACGACAGACGAACTGACGACAAAGAAGGCAAGTTAAATAGAAGCTTGTAAAAAATTACATGTTTGCTTTTATTTATGCAAAACGTTTCACACCACACATACTCTCGTATCCTTCCATTACTCTAATACCATTCATAACATTACCACCTTCTCCTTGAACCTAATGTCATTAGCAAAAATGTGCTTATTATAGTCGTCTGGGAAAATAAAGGATTTTTTCTGTGCTCTTATACAGCGAAAAAAATGACTGACGCAGCCTGTTTGCTTTAATAAACGTGTAATTGTTGACGCGTGATCTCACTTTCTGATTGGATCATATAAAAAAAGATAACAAAATATTATTAATTATCTTCGTCTCTTTTTAAATAATTAGACGTGTTATTAACTATTCCGGGGTGTTTCCACCAACTGTTAAACTGCCAATTCGGTTACCCGTATCTCAAATTTTGCTCGTAAGTTAAAGCAAATTTGTAATAGCTTGAAAATCTCGTATGTCGAGGTACCATGGTATAGACCATTTGTCCGCACTATTATACACACATGGATATCATTTATTTAGTGCGTAGTTCTTTTTTCCTCTATTCGATAGTATTCTGTTTTAAAGTTTTAGCCTTGAAAAAGTAATAATAATCAAGTGTTTTAAAAAATTATTACATAACTAGTGTGGATTGATAAAATGCAATTTGTTAGGTAAAACAAGGATATTTTAAATACTGCCTTTTTATTTTTATACAATGAGCGTACTGTTTACTAATTATTATTATTATTTGTAAACAAAAACAGTTTAGAAGCCGCTCCTAATTAATGTCCTCTGTGTTTACTTCTGACTTTCTGTTTGCGGATAAGTTTGGGATATTATAGTCGTAATCTAAATTGAATCAGGCGCGTCCGCCGGCGCCCCGGCAGGGTGTGATTTGCGCCCTGGCCTATCCTGTGAGCGCTATGGTGAATGCGTTCGTTTTAAACAGTGCGATAGACTATGGATAAGATGGGAAGATGGGGTATTTTAGTCGTTTAGGGTCTACGACAAATTCTCGAAAGACACTTGCCCGAATGCGACAAACGCCAGAATAGACACTTGCCCGAATGCAGCAAATGCCCGAATGGACGCTTGCCCGAATGCGGCAAATGCACGAATGAACACTTGCTCGAATGCGACAAATGCCCGAATGGACACTTGCCCGAATGCGACAAATGCCCGAATGGACATTTGCCCGAATGCGACAAATACCCGAATGGACACTTGCCCGAATGCGGCAAATGTCCGAATGGACACTAACCCGAATGCGACAAATGCCCGAATGGACACTTGCCCGAATGCGACAAATGCCTCATTCGGGCGAGTGTCCATTCGGGAAATAGGCATTCGGGCAAACGGCATTCGGGCAAACGGCATTCGGGCAAACGGCATTCGGGCAAGTGTCTTTCGGAGAAAACTTCCGGCTCCCAGTCGTTTGCTAAGTTAATTAGGTGGTTCTGCCGGTGCCCCGGAAGGGTGCGATTTGGCGACCCGGGATTTACTGTGAGCACTAGGAATTTGTTTGC